GACCCCACAGAATCTGAAACAGGCTCAGGCTCTGAGCTGTCAGCCCAGAGCCCGTGGCGGGGGCTTCGAACTCTGGGACCTTGAAGATGAATCAACCTTGAGATAAACGAGATAGTGACTCCCCTGAGCAGAGTCGGGGCATGTAACCGACTAAACCACCCAGAAGCCCATATACCAAGAACTCTTACAACTGCAAGATAAAAAGGCAAATATACTTAGAGTAAAAAAATTAAGCGAAGGGTCTGAAGGAAGAGACATTTTCTCCTAGCCAGACAAAGTGATGAGCCAATAGTTGGAGTAGCCTGGCTGGTTTGAACACAGCCTGAACTCAGAGGGTTGTGAGTTTAAATCCCATGTTGGGGGTAGAAATTTCTTAAATAAAGAAATAAGCTTTTTTATTTTATTTTATTAACATTTTTTTTAATGTTCATTTTTTGAAGAGAGAAGCCGAGAGGAGACAGGAGAGAGAGGCCTGATCAAAGAAACGGGCTCTAGGCTCTGAGCTGTCAGCACAGAGCTGGACACGGGGCTCGAACCCACGAACATGAGATCACCATCTGAGCCGAAGTCAGACGCTTCACCGACTGAGCCACCCAGGCGCCCCAAGAAATAAACTTTTTAAAAAAATGACCAACAGTACATGAAAAGATGCTCAACATTATTAGCCATCAGAGAAATGCAAATCAAAATCGTGAGATTCCACTTTACATCCACTAGGATATTTATGTATGTATGTATGTATGTATGTATGTATGTATGTATTTATAAGTAGGCTTCATGCCCAGCGCGGAGCCCCACACGGGGCCTGAACTCAGGACTCTGAGATCAAGACCTGAGTTGAGACCAAGAGTTAGAGGCTGAACCCACTGAGCCACCCAGACGCCGCAGAAGAGTTGTGACAAGAAAGATGGATAATAACAGTATCGGTGAAAACATCAGACCCTGCCTACATGGCTAGTGCAAGTGTAGGGAGGTGCAGCTGCTTTGGGAAATGGTCTGGCCTTCCCTCAGAAAGGTTAGACATGAAGTTATCATGTACCCACTCATTGGTACATAACCCAGAGGAAAAAAAAACCCAGGTCACAAAAACACTTGTGCGAATGTTCGTAGCAGCATTGTTCATAAGAGCCCAAAAGTGAAAACGACCCCAATGTTCATCGACTGATGAATGGAGAAACAAGTTGCACACCACATGTACAGTGGAATATTATTCAGCCTTAAAAAGGATGAAAATCCTGTCACGTGCTACAACATGGATGCATCTTGGAGAGATTCCGCTCGGTGAAATCAACTAGTCACGAAAGGACAAATACTGTCTGATTCCACTTGTACGAGGTTCCGAGAGTAGTCAGATTCATGGAGACAGAAAGTAGAACAGTAGGGTAGGTATCAGGATCCGACCTAAGGGGGAAATAGTATTCAATGGATATACAGTTTCAGTTTGGGAAGATCAACACGTTCTGGAGATGGATGGTTGTGATGGTCCCTGAGCAGTGTGAATGTGTTTAGTGTCACAAAGTGTGTACCTAGGGGCGCCTGGGTGGCGCAGTCGGTTGAGCGTCCGACTTCAGCCAGGTCACGATCTCGCGGTCCGTGAGTTCGAGCCCCGCGTCGGGCTCTGGGCTGATGGCTCAGAGCCTGGAGCCTGTTTCCGATTCTGTGTCTCCCTCTCTCTCTGCCCCTCCCCCGTTCATGCTCTGTCTCTCTCTGTCCCAAAAATAAATAAAAAACGTTTGAAAAAAAAAAAAAAAAACAAAGTGTGTACCTAAAAATGATTAAGATGGGGGGTGCCCTGGATGGCTCATTCGGTTGAGCGTAGGACTTCAGCTCAGCTCATGACCTCATGATCTCATGGTTCATGGGTTCGAGCCCCACATCGGGCTCGCTGTTGTCAGCACAGAGCCCGCTTAGGATCCTCTGTCCTTCTCTCCGTCTCTGCCCTTCCCCCGCTTGTGCTCTCTGTCTCAAAAATAAAAAAAGAAAACATTAAAAAGAAAAAAAGAAAACATTATGTGAAATGAAAGAAGTCAGACACAAAACACCACATCTTATAGGATTCCATTAGTATGAAAAGTCCGGAATTGGCAAATCTATAGAATAAGTAGATTAGTGATTGCCTCATGCTGGGGCTGGTGGTGAGGCCAGGATTGGGGCAGGAATGGGGAGTGACTGCTAATGGGTACAAAGTTTCTTTTTGCGGTGTTGGAAGTGTTCTAAAATTGTACCGAAGGTTGTACAACCCTGAATGTACCCCAAAGCACTGAATTGTAGAATTTAAATTGTTGAATTATACTGCATATGAATTATATCTCAGTAGAGCTGTTTTTTTTTTCTTTTTTTTTTTTTTTTAATTTTTTTTTCAACGTTTTTTATTTTATTTTTGGGACAGAGAGAAACAGAGCATGAACGGGGGAGGGGCAGAGAGAGAGGGAGATACAGCATCGGAAACAGGCTCCAAGCTCCGAGCCATCAGCCCAGAGCCTGTCACGGGGCTCGAACTCACGGACCGCGAGATCGTGACCTGGCTGAAGTCGGACGCTTACCCGACTGCGCCACCCAGGCGCCCCTAGAGCTGTTTTTTTTAAGGGGTAGCGATTGGATTTTTGGAGAATAATGAATTTATTTTTTTTAATGTTTACTTATCCTTAAGAGAAAGAGAGCTTTCTTTACTACTTTTCTACTTTAAGAGAAAGTAGAGAGAGTGGGGGACAGAGGATCTAAAGCAGGCTCTGTCCTGACAGCAGAGAGCCTGATACGGGGCTTGAACTCATGAACCATGAGACTGTGACCTGAGCCGAAGTTGGACGCTTAACCAACAGAGCCCCCCAGGCGCGCCTGGAGAATAATGAATTTAAAAATTGAACCAGGGAGAAGATGAAGGGTCCCCTTTGTAGGGTCAGCCCCTGGACGTCCCGGGCAGATAGTAGGTGCTCCATAAATTAAAACCAAGGGAGCATTTCCAGAAAGAGAAACACATCGCGGCTGCTGTTTTTGGAGCACTGACCGGATGTCAGGCTTCATGCGAGACACTTACATCAAGTCACACCCTTCAACTACCCATTTTACAGATACTATAATTGAGGCTCAAGGAATTAAGGAATTTACTCTTGGTCACACAGGAAGTAGCAGAACTCAGAAAGGGATCCAGGTCGGTCTGACTCCAAAGGTAAAGTCTAAAAATAGACCTTAAAAATTATTAATTTTATATCAAAGTTTTCAGACTTACTAAAAACATAAAGAATAATACTGTGCATACCTGTGTACCACGACCAGCTTAAGAAATCAAACGATCAGGGTGCCTGGGTGGCTCAGTCGGTTAAGCGTCCAACTTCCGCTCAGGTCATGATCTCACCGTTTGTGGGTTCGAGCCCCGCATCAGGCTCTCTGCTGTCAGCACAGAGCCCACTTCAGGTCCTCTGCTCCACTCTCTCTGCCCCTCCCCTCCTT